GGGGTCATCTGAAGGCAATTGTCTATGGTGTGAAGATACGAGATATGCAGCACCTGAAACTACGGATACTGGATGCCTGTGTTGGCATTTCTCCTGCCGTGTTGCTATCAGTGTGTAAAGAGTGGGAGAAGAGGGTTGCATTGACAATCCAACACAATGGGCAGCACACTGAACACATTTTATAGTGGTCAGAAACTTGTAAATAACTCATGAAAGAATAAAGTTACGTTGAAACCAAGCACACTATTGTTTTTCTTGTGACATTACCAATAAGTTTGATGTGTCACATGGCCCTCTTCCTATTGAAAAAACAAAGGTTGTATCCAAGATGGCCGACTTCTAAATGGCCACCACCCATCTTGAGGAGTTTGCCCCCTCACATATACTAATGTGCCACAAACAGGACTTTAATATCACCACCCATTCCCATTTTATTACAGTGTATCCATATAAATGGCCCACCCTGTATATCTTTTGATGAAACTTTATTGCTTGATTTGATGTCTTATCAGCTGCAAAAATTTGTATTGTTACATCAGCATTTTTGAGTAAGAGTTTGGGGGTTCTGTGCAGTATCTTAGTTCTTCTTAGCACAGAGACTTTTGATGTTGTGTCTCGAATGAAGCTTTGGAGGATACAGCTCCGAACACTCCTATTACCATTGTGACCACCTTGGACTTCCAATAGTAGCTGAATAGCATAGTGACATTACCCTTTTTGGAACAATAAGTCAGCGTTTAAATTCCAGCCAGGGCAGGGGTCCACAGACTAAGATCCTTCATGCTAGTTGTGCCTCCCTCTGCTCATGAGTAAGAGATAAAAAAAACTAAAGCCATTGTGACTCAGATATCACCGAGCTTAACAGAGTTTAGGTCAGATGTCAGTGAACCAAGACATAACAGGCCCAGTTATAATCTGGACACAAGTTCAAATGAGATTTTTTGGCATATACAAGCCATTTGTGCCCAAAAGCTGTCGAACATGGACAAATTCTGCAAAGAAGAGTGGAAAAAATCCAAAACAGTGTAAATTTACAGTTGCTGTCATTTCAGAAGGAGTCTTTTTCTTTAAAATGAAAAGTCAGTCAAATTCTTCTGGAAGTTGAATAAAATATGCAGGTTTTTGCTGTGGATTTTGTGAAAATATGTCAGCCCAGCAAAACATGCAGGACATAAGCAGGGTTGCCATAATTAGTAATTTCCCCCCACTTAGAATTGCCTTTGATTATTTCCTTGTAGATTATTTTTGCACCAGATCCACTTGGGCTGTAAAAAAAACAAAAAAAAAAAAAAAAAAAAAAAACACCTGATGTTTTTCATGACTGGATCTTTGAGAACAAATACCACAAAGCAAGAGGAAAGAGGAACTTCGGTGCCCCCTAGTGGTGGTAACATATATTGTGGCTAGAATCTATCCACCCTTTTAAACCAGTCCAGTGTCATCTCCTCCACTTTAGGGTGGAGTTTAACAGAAAGCTTTTATGCATTACTTAACGGTACCGTCAATTACTCATTTTGATCCTACTTCAAAGCAGCTGCAATCACAGCTATTAATTACAGAGATCTGTGACACCACAGCTAACCCGCTGATGTTGTGTTGCTACTTCTCTGCATACCTTTGCTCAGTTTTCTTTTGTTTTTGTCTTGATGTCTTTCAGTGCGTAAAGCTCATCTTCTGCTCTAGTTGTCTGGGCATTCCAGACATCTGGACATGTCCGACCCAACGCTTCACAAAAATATCTGAGAGCATTCTGGGAAAACTGTCTGATGCAAGCCATGGGAAAATTCCACAGTTACAGGTATTCAAAGCTATAGACAAATGTGTTGCAAGATACCTTAAAGCACATGAAACCCTTCTGTGACACATGACTGACATCTGGACTGATAATCAGTGCCATAGGATACAGTTTTTCTATAACTTGATGATTAAGTAACAAGGTGAAACATAAAGGATGATTGAGTAAACATAGATGAATGGACCACAGACTTCTCAAGCTGTCACACAGTTTGTCAGATAACATCCAAAAAGGCACCAACATCACCACGGCAACTAACCAGTTTTTGGAGCCAGCCCTGCTCAGTTTTTATAACCTACTACAATGCAGTTCTTCTGCAACACTTTTAACCCCAGAGTTACCATTTAGTTAAAGATTAAGTGAGCAACAACATGTTTTTAAACAGAGCATTGACATATTATCACAACCTTTTTTATGGCATACGTGTTAAGACTTAACTACTTCCACATCCAGCTGACAGTTCATTTAATTCATGTTGTCTATTTCATTATATTGTGCCAAATCACAACAACAGTTACCTCAAGTAGAGAAAACCTAAACAATCAGACGACCCACTATGAGCAAGCAATTGGTGACAGCGGGAAGGAAAAACTCCCTTTCAACAGGAAGAAACATCTGGCAGAACCAGGCTCAAGGAGGGGCAGCCCTCTGCCATGACCAGCTGGAGATGAGGGGCAGGAGACAGAAGAAAACACATACTGTGGAAGAGAAATTCATAATAACTAATGATTAAATGCCGAGTGGTGTTTAAACACATGAAGAGTGGTAAGAGGTGAGTGAAGAAAAAAAACACTCATCATGGAAAGCCCCCAGCAACCTAGGCCTAATGCATTTAACTTTGAAACTGTTCTTTGGATGTTGGCATTCCAATTCCAGACAGGTAGGATTTCATATTTATATATGAAAACATAAGGAACCAATGTGACAACTTACAGGTAGGGTTTAACTTTACAGAACCGGTAATGGGGAACAAATTTTATCACCTATAAGCAAAATTTTATGAACTATTTAATAAAGTAGGAAAAATGAAGGCTCGTGTTAACTACTGGTAGCAAGTTTACCACTTGGCAAATGTCAGAGCTTCCTCCTACACTACCACTTCCCCTTCAATGTTCAACAAGAAACATGCAGGTAAGCCACTGAATAATAGCTTAAGTACACAAAGCTATTCATTTTAATGTTTAAATGTCCTTAATTAAGCTATCAAAACAGGTTTGTCAGCCCTGTCTAGACCCCTTCTCCACTTTGTATAACCTGGATTGTTCAGATGCACGCGTGTTTTGTAGAAAACCTGAACTCTTTAACAGAATGAGACTCTGTGTGTCAGGAAGTGCATTATGAAACCATGTGAGCAAGAGCAACTCTCTGACGTAACACACCTGATGTTTTTCATGTAAATGGTTAGATTTGACAGTTCAGGAGTCACTACCTATAAACGTTCTGCTATTTAGCTATGAGGATGTGTTGGAGACATAACAAAGTTGGAAAAGCTTAATTTTCATTTTCTAGCATTAAATTACCACATTCTATTGTTGAAATAACACTCTTATTGGTAATTTACTTTTCACTAGCTTTTAAAACACTCAAAGGAGGGCTGGACTTGTGATCACGGTAAAGGAACCCATGTGGCCTAGAGAGCAGAGCCTCGGGAAAACAAATAGAAAATGTTTTTAAAAAAAAAGTACTCTTTTGTGGGAGTAAAGATTCAATGGAAAGGGTGGCATGTCTATTTATAGTGGGCTGGACTGCTGTTAATGCATGCATAGTCTCTGTTTTTTTTGTTGTTGTTTTTTTCCTTTTTTGT